ACACCTTTGTGTACATACGCTTACAGCGTAGCCGAATTGACGTCGATTTGTGGATAACTCGTACATACTTAACACCTTTGTGTACATACGCTTACAGCGTAGCCGAATTGACGTCGATTTGTGGATAACTCGTTCATATTTTACACCTTTGTGTACACACGCTTCACTGGTCATTTGTCTGATGAAGGTGACAGAGTACACGTATACCGTACTACTCATCGAGACGTTACATAGAAACGATTTTTGGTTGTGCTACATGAATCTTTTCACAATCAATACTCGAGACGTTCAACGTTTACCAATTATCTTAGAATGTCCTACAGTTGTTTCATCGCCTGGTCAGCTAAAAGGCAGTTAAAAGCAGTATTTTTTTGTTCTGCTATATTCTCAAAACTTGAACTACATATATAGGGATTAAAAAAACACACATTGACAAAACAATATTTAAAAATTTCAAAAAATTCTGTTTTCGTTGACGAGTCGAAAAAGCTTATTGAATTAGAATTTAATACATGAGTCCTGGTTGCTATCAAGAATAATCGCCATAAATATATTACCAGTGTCATATGAAAACTGACCTAGTGTACTGGGCAATAATAGTATCACTATGTTATCATACACTCCTTTCTCTGCCACAAATATCCGTGTGTTACAAGTTATTTTATCATACAATTACACTTCGATATAATGCCCCTCGATTCATTGGCCACATCGCTTATCACCAATTTAAAATCAAACTTTTCTTCTTAACATTTCCTTCGATATCGCTAGACCCCCTTTTTAATGCCACAATTTTGCTGGACAGATGATGGGATTATAAGGTTAACTTATGTGACGCAGAACAAATCAGGTTAATTCATGTGAGTTAAATCTGCACCCGATTTGAGAAAATATGGACCACTGTTTAGTTAAGTAACTTACCTGATGGAGAGGTTGTCACTAAGTGCAGTAGTCTCACTTTTGATTTGTTTCGCCTGAAATTTATCAGTGATACAAATTATTGCACAAAAGGAATATTTTTCATCATTTTGAAAAGAACCTGAGAAATACGTATCCATATAAAAAACTAATTACATTGTCCCAAAACAATAAAAGGTGTATTGTTTCTGCGATATACATGTACAAGTTTGTTTTTCATTATGGAATTAAGTACCAAGCTATCAAATAAAGTTGGTATTTTACGACACTGACCAAATATTTATTTTCTTTGAAATCATTTTGATGTGGACGGTATTTAAGGATCCATGTCCCTCTCCACTGTGGTGTTTCGTATATAAAGTAACCTCCACGCAATTTCGTTTTTGGATATAACTGTATCACCGTTAAGACAGGCCATTTCCGTTTACTAGGTTACTTAATCGGTTAGATCGATAAAATAACAGTCTGAAATCCAGAGTTCGAATACTGGTCTGGTGACGCCGTGTTTTTACACTAAAAACACTTCATTTAATAAGTATTGTTAATTTCATCTTTATTTATTTTTTCATAAATGTCCTGCCATATATGGTATGCCTAAATAAACAGTCTCCAATACTTAGTTACAGTTTTTGACAGTGGTACGGGGATCCTTAAACAGTCTCCAATACTTAGTTGCAGTTTTTGACAGTGGTACGGGGATCTTTAAACAGTCTCCAATACCTCGTTACAGTTTGTGGTAGTGGTACGGGGATCCTTAAACAGTCTCCAATACTAAGTTACAGTTTGTGGTAGTGGTACGGGGATCCTTTAACAGTCTCCAGTACTTAGTTACAGTTTTTGGTAGTGGTACAGGGATCCTTAAACAGTCTCCAATACCTAGTTACAGTTTTTGGTAGTGGTACGGGGATCCTTAAACAGTCCCCAATACTTAGTTACAGTTTGTGGTAGTGGTACGGGGATCCTTAAACAGTCTCCAATACTTAGTTACAGTTTGTGGTAGTGGTACGGGGATCCTTAAACAGTCTCCAATACTTAGTTACAGTTTGTGGTAGTGGTACGGGGATCCTTAAACAGTCTCCAATACTTAGTTACAGTTTGTGGTAGTGGTACGGGGATCCTTAAACAGTCTCCAATACTTAGTTACAGTTTGTGGTAGTGGTACGGGGATCCTTAAACAGTCTCCAATACTTAGTTACAGTTTGTGGTAGTGGTACGGGGATCCTTAAACAGTCTCCAATACTTAGTTACAGTTTGTGGTAGTGGTACGGGGATCCTTAAACAGTCTCCAATACTTAGTTACAGTTTGTGGTAGTGGTACGGGGATCCTTAAACAGTCTCCAATACTTAGTTACAGTTTGTGGTAGTGGTACGGGGATCCTTAAACAGTCTCCAATACTTAGTTACAGTTTGTGGTAGTGGTACGGGGATCCTTAAACAGTCTCCAATACTTAGTTACAGTTTGTGGTAGTGGTACGGGGATCCTTAAACAGTCTCCAATACTTAGTTACAGTTTGTGGTAGTGGTACGGGGATCCTTAAACAGTCTCCAATACTTAGTTACAGTTTGTGGTAGTGGTACGGGGATCCTTAAACAGTCTCCAATACTTAGTTACAGTTTGTGGTAGTGGTACGGGGATCCTTAAACAGTCTCCAATACTTAGTTACAGTTTGTGGTAGTGGTACGGGGATCCTTAAACAGTCTCCAATACTTAGTTACAGTTTGTGGTAGTGGTACGGGGATCCTTAAACAGTCTCCAATACTTAGTTACAGTTTGTGGTAGTGGTACGGGGATCCTTAAACAGTCTCCAATACTTAGTTACAGTTTGTGGTAGTGGTACGGGGATCCTTAAACAGTCTCCAATACTTAGTTACAGTTTGTGGTAGTGGTACGGGGATCCTTAAACAGTCTCCAATACTTAGTTACAGTTTGTGGTAGTGGTACGGGGATCCTTAAACAGTCTCCAATACTTAGTTACAGTTTGTGGTAGTGGTACGGGGATCCTTAAACAGTCTCCAATACTTAGTTACAGTTTGTGGTAGTGGTACGGGGATCCTTAAACAGTCTCCAATACTTAGTTACAGTTTGTGGTAGTGGTACGGGGATCCTTAAACAGTCTCCAATACTTAGTTACAGTTTGTGGTAGTGGTACGGGGATCCTTAAACAGTCTCCAATACTTAGTTACAGTTTGTGGTAGTGGTACGGGGATCCTTAAACAGTCTCCAATACTTAGTTACAGTTTGTGGTAGTGGTACGGGGATCCTTAAACAGTCTCCAATACTTAGTTACAGTTTGTGGTAGTGGTACGGGGATCCTTAAACAGTCTCCAATACTTAGTTACAGTTTGTGGTAGTGGTACGGGGATCCTTAAACAGTCTCCAATACTTAGTTACAGTTTGTGGTAGTGGTACGGGGATCCTTAAACAGTCTCCAATACTTAGTTACAGTTTGTGGTAGTGGTACGGGGATCCTTAAACAGTCTCCAATACTTAGTTACAGTTTGTGGTAGTGGTACGGGGATCCTTAAACAGTCTCCAATACTTAGTTACAGTTTGTGGTAGTGGTACGGGGATCCTTAAACAGTCCCCAATACTTAGTTACAGTTTGTGGTAGTGGTACGGGGATCCTTAAACAGTCTCCAATACTTAGTTGCAGTTTTTGACAGTGGTACGGGGATCCTTAAACAGTCTCCAATACTAAGTTACAGTTTTTGGTAGTGGTACGGGGATCCTTAAACAGTCCCCAATACTTAGTTACAGTTTTTGGTAGTGGTACGGGGATCCTTAAACAGTCTCCAATACTAAGTTACAGCTTGTGTTAGTGGTACGGGGATCCTTAAACAGTCTCCAAAACTTAGTCACAGTTTGTGATAGTGGTACGGGGAATCCTTAAACAGTCTCCAATACTTAGTTACAGTTTGTAGTAGTGTTACGGGGATCCTTAAACAGTCTCCAATACTTAGTTATAGTTTGTGTTAGTGGTACGGGGATTCTTAAACATTCTCCAATACTTAGCTACAGTTTGTGGTAGTGGTATGGGGATCATTAAACAGTCCCCAATACTTAGTTACAGTTTTTGGTAGTAGTACAGGGATCCTTAAAACAGCGAATTTATTTAAATGGCTTACCTCTGTTTGTTCGCGTTGATCATCCACTTTGAATCTTAAGATCCATAAGATCAGAGGCTGACAAAGAGGAACGATGCAAACCAGGATCTGAAATAATAAGAATTACATACATTTCAGAAGGACGAAACTTCTGTATGACACATGTTGTAACATATGTACGAAATTTGAAAGGCGCAATCACCTGTGTGATTTGCGTTCATCTTACATGTATCATATTTTGAGTATTCACAAAAAAAGGACTATCATGAATTCAAAATCTTCGCCGATTCTAAGCCGATGAAAGACAAATTAAGAAACTTAGTATTCACTATAAAGAGTTATATCTCAATGAAACTCCCTAACTTAAGAGCTCGTTTCGATATACAATGTATTTGGATATAGGACATATCTCCGCGATAAAACATATCTCACTAAAATTGGATGATTTACAGGATAGTAAGGTTAAATATGATTATGAAAAATACATGAATACAATAGATGAAAATAGATCGTCCGGTTAACCTTACCCGAGGGAGTCCATTCAGGGGAGATAACTCGCCCATCCACATAGAGCTCAGAAGTGATTGAAAAGTCGCATGAGCGACGAAGTCTTTGTTGTCTGTCTTCATGGCGATTTGCTCGCACGTACTGTGTCCCCATTCATCTATACGCTGTGTTAACAGATCTGTGGCCTTCTTTTCGTCCTTTTCTTGGCATTCGTTTAGAATTTCCAGAGCAAGTCGACTGAATTCACTGAAAATTTGAGAGTTAAAAAATGAGTTATAGTGTAACCTCGTTTAGTCACCGAAAGCATATATTGCAAACGAACTTTGCGAATGAAATGAGTGAAGTTTGTCATTAACGTTAATATCTGTTACAAAATTAAGCATATGAAAAGGAAATTGTATTACATTTTCCCCTTCTCGTTAAGACATGTCACATAACCTAGAGACGAATTATCTTGTCTCACATTAACCGTCTCGTCAAAGTTGAACATACTTGTCTCCTTGCAGCGCGTGCTTCCGTGGGCAAACCGATCGTATATTCTAGGGAGATGTATTGCCCATTACTATATCAGCAAAAATGGCAGACGCCCGCGTGTCCAAACTCTCAAAATGTATTATGTTGTTGATTTTATTTTCATTAAGTTAAAAAAAAAAAGCAACGTTTTCTTTTTTACCTTAATTTTCATTCGGTGTAATGTACAATTTATGGCCCTGGTGGTTGTAGGGTGATATGGAGATTTGTTTACTTACTCTGAGTTGTGTTTCAGTGTTTTCTCGGAATCTTTATCTCCCACGAGAGTTGACATCTTCTTTAACAGGCCGTGGGCAACTAAGGCGGCGGCGATGTGGTCCTTATTTACATCACAACAAACAACAATGTCATCAACATAACCCGTTATGTTAATTTACGTAATAAGGAAATAGAGGACATATTACCGTTCCCGTTGAATACACTATATATTTCACGAGAATGGCAGAATAGCGACATTTTCTACGAGTGCGATTTATTCTTTGGTTTGGTTTGTTTGTGTTTTACGTCCTAATAAGTGCTACGGTCATTTAAGGACGTGCCAGGTTTTGGTGGTGGAGGAAAGCCGAAGTTCCCGGAGGAAAACCACCGACCTACGGCCAATACCTGGCGATTGCCCAACGTGAGGCCTCGAACCCGCGACCCAGTGGTAAAGGGCTTGTGGTAGCAGAATGTCAGACACCTTAACCACTTGGCCACCGCGGCCCCAAGCGATATATTCTGCCATGCGAGTGGAATATATATTGTATTAAACGCTAACACCATTCGATTTATTACAATTTTTTAAAATTTAAACGACGAAAATATTGCTGCATCATAAAAACGTGCGGAATTCAGTAGCTTTATATGTTGAAGCTAAGTAATGACGTCACGCTTGACAGCAGGGCTTGTGTAATAATAAATAGACTACTCAACGCAATTATACCATTTTCTGCTGGGTATTTTATAGGTTGTGTATGTACCAAAAATGTAAAATTACCAACCACATATTTGAACAGAAAATCTGCAGCAGTAAATGGAAAATATAATTTTGATTGGTCAATATACAATCGATATTAGACCTTTTATCATCAACGTGAAAACATAACATTTCGCATATCTTCACTGCATTTTTGTTTATATTTCAGTGGTAAACATGCTTTTAGAGATATTTACCACTTGTATTCTTCATTTTAAACGATATTTCTATAGTTGTGTAAGAACAAATTCTTACCTTGCCATATTTCCAAAATAGTTTCGCCATTTTCTGTCGGTTTGTAAGCACGCACCATAGGAACAAGTGGAGATTTGGATTTTCAAATCTATGAATTCCTTCTAGTGTTCCTTTCACGGAAACGAAATTACGAACGGCAGATTTCATGGTGTGTAAACGGGGAGGCGGCTTCTTAACAGGGGAAACAACTCTGGTGTCCGCTTCTATTTTGTTCTGGAAGAAACGGTTCGTTGACGTCACTTTATTTTCAACCCCGTTCTCAACAATCGTTTTCGATACCACTACATTATCATTTTGCAAAATTTGGTTTTGAGGTTTCCCCCATTGTTTATGTTCGAGACCATTACTGCTTTCCTGTCTTGGAAAGAATTGGGTATTCTTTTGTTCAATTAACGATTGGGAACTTTTTCTCTCATCCGGTTTCTTGTACACTGCCAGGACCTCGTAAAAGTCTCCGAGAAGAAAATTGATCAGTATCCCGATCTGTACCAGGCAATCCTGTATAAGTAAAATAAAACGCTCCCATAAGATTAAAAGTATTCGTATGTGACAATTTGATTAAATATATTTATCAGGAAAAAGAAGAATTAGCATGTATGCTATCTTTTTATCATAATACATCTCCAACACACCCGCAGGAATATACACATAGTGAGATATTAGCCAGGTGGCATAGGACTAGGAAGTTAGCACCTGATAATCCTCACCATTGTATCGATTAATTTCTTGATAGTATAAATTGTATTTCTCCCATAACCACTATAGGTTTCCTCATTCCTGATTCATTGGATAAACCTGCTAGGAATTGGTAAACATTTTTGGTTACCCACTATTAAGAAACACCCTGGGCGTGATTTTATTGGTAAATTCTTTACTTATGACGTCACGTAACAATGCTTTGCGACGCCATCTTCCATTGTGACGTCATGATTCACGGCAATTGTTTTCTCCCCATCGGAAGCCGACATAGTGTATTTTTCAAGGGGAACATATGGCTTTCCAGATCAAATGTGAACGTCATGGGAGAAAAAGGACCCAAATCTCGTGATGGTAGGTTATCATGGTAATCTTACTCACGTTAGTTAATTTTCAAATTGTAAAAGACACTCGGTAAACCTCGTTTCTTAATATTATTTGAAAATTAACCAACTTGAGTTAGATAAACATGATAACCTACCATCACTCGTTGGGGAACCTCTATATCTGTATACTGTAAAGCGCTCTTGAGTGGCTTATTCTAGCTAGATATGGCGCTATGTCGCCACATTTTCTATGTATTTACAGTCTACACTGACATTCGCTCATTAAGAATTGTTCCCGCAAACAGGATTAATCATATCATAATAGATGGTGACAAGTTTACATGACGTTGACAAAAACACATGTGACCACAGTGGGCGAAGCTATGCAAATTTTCCGCAAACGAGACATCATTGTGTGACGTCATCAACACTTGTGGGCGGAGTTAACCAATGCTTATTGAACCAATCACACGTCAATATTTACAGAAAATGGAATATGTATTCATTAATCTTATTTATGTAGAAAATAGTTATGAATTACTTACAGAAAAAATACTGTAAAGATAAGGAATAAGTTGGGAGCTGTTTTCTATTTTGGTCAGGTTATCGGAGTACAATTCTAGTTGAGAAAGATTAAATTGAATATATGACGAAAACAGAAATAAACATACCTTAAACATAAATAATTTCAAGATCCGAGAAATGTAAACTCCAAATGTAAAAGAGATATATGTAGTCATTTATGATCATTGTGGTATTTGCAGATCTTCTGAAACGGGGTAGAAGATGTCTTAGTTACTTTCTTAAGTAATTTCTTATGACAAGAAAGCGGTTTATTTCTTTGAGTGGTTTTACATCCGCTTCACTAACGAGTAGTTCGATTATCCAGCAGAACGTCCAAAAATAGCTAAAAGGTTACGGCAGTATTTTCATAGAAAAGAGACATTCACTTTTGAACGTATAAACAAAATCGAGGCCGACGCCGACGAGTTGGCTTGGTGTAAATGACGGATACGACCTATGTTTCGTCATTAAATTGCTCTACATGAAAATTAGGAAAAAATGGCTTTAATCACACCATCGATCGTTTCACAAATTCTCACAAACAATTATTCACGAAAAATAAGAGTTTTAAGAAAAATGTCGATTTCCTTCACACACTGGAATCGGCGGTTCACACATTGGCGTGTATATTGCGTTCATACTACGTTTTGTAATCCATGCGCAATATACTTTAACTTATCATTTTATTTTTATACTGAAACCTGAACCGTTTGCCGATGCGTTGATAGACCTAGGTTTGAATCTTGGTGATTGAAGCGTTCTCTGAGCCTTGTCTTGAAAAATTAGTTACATTTTTTTTTAAATCTCGAGACAGTGCTAGTTAAAATTATCGCTTGTACATGTCTCATTTACTTTCACATTTTTGTGTTTGAAATAAAATAAAATAAAAATCAGTGGAACTATACCTGGGTTTCGCCTACGTCACTTCCGGTGCTCCGGGCTTAACCCTGGAAAATACCTATTGATTTTGATGTTAAAGACTCATGAATATTACCGGAGTAGAAACATGTATTTAATTAGAGGACAGTTTGACTTACGTCCGATCTAAGGTCCACCTTTTTCGGGTACTTCTTCAAAACCGTCCTCAAAATACTGTTCGCGGAAACCTGCCGGAATGACGAGAAAGACAAATCAGTATACATGTAAATTAGCATCTGTTGAAATTGGCTTATCAAACGATCATGAATGGGCATTTCCTTATGAAAGTAATTAACTTTTGAAATATGTCATTATCTTACTGGCAATGGTTTCAAAGAACTGTTATGGTGAACGAATTCTTATATCAGAGTTTGAACTAACAAATCCATTCCGTATTTTTTTCTCTTTTTTTTTCGGCAGGGCTGTCTAAAATCGTTCTGGCACCCAACGCGTCATACACAGCGCAGACAATAACTTGAGTTACCTCCCATTGAACACGTATCCTGTACAACTGGAGCTTTCCAATAAGCGCTAGTTAGGGCTGCGCAACATTAGAAGGAAACAATATGTCTGCAATTTTGTGGTTATACTGCATTGGAATGGTTATCCATTCTGCGGACTTATGTTTTCCTTATTTTTTATTGTATTAAAACACATAATGAATTTTGATGATATTGTTCATCCTTCACTTTAGGTATTGTGTAAAATACAATCACAAAAAAAAATATTATTTAGACAAACATTTATGTGTAAATTACAATTCAAATATAGAACAGTCGTTATTGATATTTCATGAAAAATTAAAAACAAACATCTCTTGAGCACTTGTTACAGTGTGATTTGGGTACATCTGGGAATGCACCTGTACAATAGATATAGCAGCAGTCAATATGACGTATTCTGACTAAAGAGATCAACGTAAAACACAGACAGGTAGGTGAGTGCACCTTTAAAATTTGTTAATAGATACAGTACGTCAAAAACGAACTACACTACACCATACAGTTGTTTTGCCCCCTTCTAGGACTTATTGGTGATGCTAGGAGTTAAAAATGAAAATCCGAATAGTCCAAACTACGGATGAAACGGAGGGGCAGGTACAGGTACATAAAACCCTTGATTTTTTAACTAAAAAAATGAGAGGTGTACCGGTTAATTTTAAATTAATAATCTTTAAAGTGTGTATATTATAAACCGTACCACTACTCAAAAGAGATAACTGTGGCCATCAAGGTTACGGAAAACCTCGAGGACTAAAGACTGCACAAGCATAGCCTAATACATCCTCGATATCCAGGGTTACGCTTACTTTCGCTCTCTACACTCCTGGAATATTTCATGGCAAAATTGAAGGCTCGATGTGCGTGGCTTGTTGATGAGACAAGAAGACTAGTTCGATCCTTTGACGTACATCAAAAGACTCTCGCGGTCACGTAGCGGTAAAAACTGACAGGCTTTGAAGTCGGGCGTCTCTCCTTTGTGATCTTTAAAGGACAGGTATCAGTCTAGCGATTGGTCAGTTTAGTTTACCTGAGACCAATCAAAAAATCTATCTTCGTGCCTTTAATTTTGCCATGACATATGCCAGGGGTGCAGAGAGCGAAATTGAGCGTAACCCGTGGATATCGAGGATGAGCCTAATATCTTAATTTGTATCTTGAAAGATGAATATAACACATTCGGTAATATAGATACAGTGAGTCTAAAAATAGACTAAACAGGCACCGATAGAACTTATAAACCAATTCATGTCGAAATGCGTCATGGTCATTTCTCCATGTTACAATAGGTTACTGTCTAACGAGAGTTAACTGAACAAATACAGTCAGAATTTCGAGATATCAAACCTCGTGATAAAGCTGTTTCAATCGTTTGGCGGTCAAGAATGTGTTGATGTCCACACCGTTGTCCATAAAAAGGTCCATGAAGTCCACTCTATCTAGGCCGAGTGCTGACATTATCATGTCGTTATCCGCCAGGGCTGTCTCCAGGCTCTGTCGCTATAGAAACAAACACGACAGTTAATATTTCAATTTCGTACCATTTTGTCAATTTTAAAACACAATTTTCCGAATTCGAGATAATAGGAGAAGTGTCATTTGGACGCTCCTTGTCCTACATCGCATATATTGAGATCGTCAAAAGAAGCACACATTTAGATGACGTACGCTGGGCTTTTCCATGAACATCGTTTGCACTGAAGTTACAGTTTACGTAAATTGGGAAGGTTTTGTCCCCAGGCTGGGACATACCGAAGTCCTTAAAAGTGGTAATTGTTATTCCTTGCTAGACGTTCAGCATTTAAGTTATCGTTGCAAACTGGTTAACCCGTTATTATCATTGTCATGTGACCGGATGGAATACTGCGCTGAGTGCCTTCTACATGATATTTAAGTGAGCTGGCACTTTAAAGTCGACATCTGATCCGCCCTGTCGCAAAAATGCAAATACACCAGCAGATCGCCAACATCAGACTTGCACACATTACACACACACTGCCTAAGATTACCTTAGCTGTTCAAAGAACGCAAACATTTTTTTTAAAAATGCGAAATTTACATTGTCCAGTACTGGCATCACCTTTTAATTAATACTGTAGAACATTTTTTTTCTAAATGACTCGCGCACGTGACCAAGTACAAATACCTATTTCCAGTCTAAGGTCACGTCAATCAAATCAAGAGTTCATCCACTTGACCACTTAATCGTGTAGTGTTATGACGCGTAACCGTTGATGGAAAATATGTAAATAACTTACACTCATGTCTCGCATAATCTCGCTGTTGGCGATGTCAATTCTGTTCCAACAGAGGGCGAGCTTCAACTGGCTCAAGGAGTTGTCTCTCTTGACTGAAATACATAAGAAGAAATGAGTTATTTCCCTTGAACAAAAAAGCGGATGTAAATTTCAAGACAAATTGGATTTCGTCTCTCTCATAGCTTGGTTCTTTATTGAACTTGAAATTAACAAATGGACGCCGTCTCAGAACAAACGATAGCCTAAATTAATGGATGTAGCTGTAGTCCTTCAGTATGACTATGTCGATGTTAATATAGCTATATCGATTTCATAAGAGCCTCAAGTATAGCATGACTAAGTCGAAATCTTAACTTAGATAAGAGCATCTAATTTGATTGTTTCGATCCTTTGTCTTAAAGCCTTTAATATTATACAGTAGCTATGTCTATATATCACTTAATGAGAGCCTTTAGTATAGATATGTTCTTATATTACCTTTCACAAGAGTTCCTACTTTAGTATGACTATATCGATGTCTTAACTTACATACTTGAATGGCTTTGTAGATGTCTTACCTTTTGCTATGTCGATGTCTTACCTTTCTTGAGAGCTTTCAGTATTGTTATGTCGATGTCTTACCTTTCATGAGAGCTTTAAGTATTGCTATGTCGATGTCTTACCTTTCTTGAGAGCTTTAAGTATTGTTATGTCGATGTCTTACCTTTCATGAGAGCTTTAAGTATTGCTATGTCGATGTCCTACCTTTGGCTATGTCGATGTCTTACCTTTCATGAGAGCTTTCAGTATTGCTATGTCGATGTCTTACCTTATATTAGAGCTTTAAGTATTGCTATGTCGATGTCTTACCTTTCTTGAGAGCTTTAAGTATTGTTAGGTCGATGTCTTACCTTTCATGAGAGCTTTAAGTATTGCTATGTCGATGTCCTACCTTTGGCTATGTCGATGTCTTACCTTTCATGAGAGCTTTCAGTATTGCTATGTCGATGTCTTACCTTATATTAGAGCTTTAAGTATTGCTATGTTGATGTCTTACCTTTCTTGACAGCTTTAAGTATTGCTATGTCGATGTCTTACCTTTCATGAGAGCTTTAAGCATTGCTATGTCGATGTCTTACTTTTAATGAGAGCTTTAAGCATTGCTATGTCGATGTCTTACCTTTCATGAGAGCTTGAAGCATTGCTATGTCGATGTCTTACCTTTCATGAGAGCTTTTGTAGTAGGGTTATCTCGATGTCTCACCTTTGGCTATGTCAATGTCTTACCTTTCATGAGAGCCATAAGTATGGCTATGTCGATGCCCTGCGACATTTCAGACGTAGCAGTTATGTCGAACACTGTTATCAGGTTCCTTTCTTTCACACACATCTCGACATTTTTGCAGACATCGTCAATCACCACATTGATCCACGCCTCCTCCTCAATCATTGCTCGTATCTTCGATTTCAAAGACTCGTCGAACACCGACACCGGCCTTAAACATTAGAGAGTCCAGGTGTGCATGATGCTGTACAGCTACAAATTTTGTCCGGTTTGAATTTTTGCGATTCATTCGTGAAGTTTGAATTTCGCAACTAGCGTGCAGGGTAAACTTTAATCTTACCATTCCATTCCTAAAGTTCATAAATATTTTTTTTCTTTAGTGTCAACCGCGAAAATTAACGAACACGGTAGATTACTTATAAATGTATTTAATGTGTTTTTATTTTCTTGTAAAAAACATTGTAACAATGATTTATGCAAAACGTGTGACAAAGACGTGAAGAGAACCGTTAATTAACGTCCTCTTCGATAAGTACAGAAAAGTCGGTTTAGGAAATTAAAACTCCACAAAAAATATGTGATTTGCAGTGTTCCGTATTCGATATTGTTTTCTCTTCTTTTAACTTTTTTCCCTCATAGATTCCTTCTGGTTTACTAACTATAGACAACTATCCTAGCATAATAGTTCATCATACACTGTATCCTCTTTTTTTGGTTTAAGAGGGTGTGACATTTGTGTGGTTTTCTTACCTTCCTCGTCCAGATTCTTTGCCGTGTTCGATTATTTCCCTTGCATGTTCATAGGCATATGCTATAATATCTGCGGCCTTTCCCGAACCCTGCAAATAAAACACCTCTCTAAGATTAAAGACAGGAACATTTTTCCGGACGTGCATTCAAAATGATGTTAGTTTTTTTGTATCTTTAAACATTATCTTAAGTTTGATTTTCATAACGGGTACCTGTATTGGTCGCATATAATAAGTTTCAATGTTCTCACTTAAAATCAAAAGAACAAATAATTTTCAGTTTCGGTTACCTTGACGACGACGGTGGGCGTGTTTTTACAGACGGCGTTCAGCACGGTTTCTATGGTATTAGGTCCTCCCTCAACAACCAATAGCACCACCGGCACAGATACAGCGTCTGAAGGGAAAAACGCGGGAAAATCTCATCAATTGGTAAGGAAAATACAAAGTTATCTCCCTTCATCTACTGAGTCAAATGAATTTTCACTTTGACAATCTGGTAGTGCACCAATCAATTTGACACAGCTGTTATAGAGAATAGACACTTGTTGATCGATTCAAAAATCACATCATCGCAACGATGAGGAAATCGAGAACACTTTACTAAGATGATAATTTTGCCTACGTCACGTTGTGAAATAGCGCCATGTTAGCGTCATCATCGTACATTTTATATATATAATACCTGTTCACCCTCGTGATATCGTGAGCCATTCAAAAAAATGAACGATTTTGACCTTGACATAAGAAGACATAGCCTAGACAAAGCTCTTCCCCGAAGGAGTTTAATCTTGTTACAAAAAAAAACATAAATATAGATATACATGTAGGGTAAATACAAAGTTATCTCCCTTCATCTACTGCGTCCCTTCATCTACAGCGTATATATATATAATATTAAAAGAACATCTAAAAAAAAAAATACGAATAATAAATTTGATCCATATAATAATTTTCCAAACATTGCTTAAATCTTAATTTTTATATATTTTTTTCAAGAATAATAAATTTGATCCATATAGTTTTTTTCCCCATACCTTTCCCCGTGTCCGTTTTCAAGTTGGCAACAGCGTTTTCTATTTCTGCACGGAAAGCAATCTCCTTCCCGAACTGGTGTTCAGAACCATCGTCCACCAATATAAAGTGCGTGTGATTCGGGTTCAGAAACGTCTCGTTCCTGTTCACAACGCGTTCTATCTTGTAACTTCTCGACGAGTTCAAATCGTCAACACTAGATGGCACTTTGATCGTATGTTCAATTTCTGTATGACTTTTAGTGACGTTTCTTAGGTGTTCTCGATTTTGAACAACTCCCCACGTGGCTATTCCTATGGCAACGATCGATTGGCCACAATTGGCTGTCAGATTGAAGTCGCGGACCGCTTCACCGACTTCCTTCATGATACCGGTGTTACTTCCGCCGCTTATTATCCATGGGTCTGTAAGGTCAAAACAAAAAGTGCAGCGGAATTTACGTTTTTTTGTTTGACAATATAGACTATGCATGACTTAATTGCTTGTTTTCACTATCATGTTTGTGATTGGAGTAAAAAGACGTTGAAACAACGATATTTATCGTCTTTTCGTCCCGCTAAACATTGTCTTTGCGCAGCGATATTAAGTCACTGTTTAGCGACCCGACATATTTCGCCTTGCAAATTATCGTTATGAATCAGAGGGGCGACAAAACGAAGGTAATCGCTTTTTCGTGCGATAGTTATCGCTATTTCGCCCCACTAGTTATCGTTATGTCGCCCCACTAGTTACCGCTCTGTCGCCCCACTAGTTATCGGTTTGTCGCCCCACTAGTAATCGCTATGTCGACCCGCTAGTTATCGGTATGTCGCCCCACTAGTTACCGCTATGTCACCCCACTAGTTATCGTTATGTCGCCCCATTAGTTATCGTTATGTCGCCCCACTAGTTATCATTATGTCGCCCCACTAGTTATCGTTATGTCGCCCCACTAGTTATCGTTATGTCGCCCACTAGTTATCGGTTTGTCGCCCCACTGGTTATCGTTATGTCGCCCCACTAGTTATCGTTATGTCGCCCCAATTGTTATCGTTATGTCGCCCCACTAGTGATCGTTATGTCGCCCCACTAGTGCTCGTTATGTCGCCCCACTAGTTATCGTAATGTCGCCCCACTTGTTATCATTGTATCGCAACACTTGTTATCGTTATGTCGCCCCAGTAGTTACCGTTATGTCGCCCTACTAGTTATCGTAATTCGACCGGATATCATACTTTCGTTATTTTAAGTAAGTTGTTTCGTTATTGAGACGAAAAGACAATAAGTATCATTATTTCGCTGCGAAATAACGAAATGTCACATATATATCAGCCTTCATCCGCTGCAAATCAAGTCAATTCGCCCATGTCATGTACTCCTTATACACGCTTTAGAAATTTCTTCAGTTTATCGAAAATGATCGTTTCGTACATGTACCATCATCAATGTTAAGAGTATGCATTCGATCTTATAAGTAAACACGTCTTGTTGCAAAAAAAAGGTTGTCAATTATACGTACCCGTAGTCCTGGCCAGTTTGATAAGCCCCCTCCTGAAGGCTGTTCTCTGCTGTGTTTTCACCTGGAAGCTTTTGGCCCCTCCCGTCACGGAGATGAGGAGGTTAGGGGTTTTGAGTTCCCACTCCCTCATCAAAGACTTGAGGACGTCGTCAAGGGGTCCTGGTCCTTCTTTTTTGCCGTCATCATTAACGCGTATATACTGTAAGGAATATGTGAGTACAGCTGGTTGTGCTATAACAGTCGTGATAAAAGCATAATACACACATCGATATTTCATTAAATGAAATCTAATTGAATTTTTTAACATACAAGTCTGTGACAATTGATTCTGTCTCAATTTTTTTAATTTTCACTTGGCTTATTGAAATATCTTATTGATTGAATAAAACACAGTTTAAACTAATTAAAAGCATCAGGCGTTTTTTTCTGGGCGCCAGTATATCGAGTGATTCCTTCTCAGTATGTGAGTACCTGATTATACAGCTGGTGTGCTATAACTGACGTGATTAAAGCATAATACACATATCGATATTACATTACTTACACGCCTTAGACCTAGCTCCTCGTCACAACCTTCAAATTTTATAAATCCGCGGTCGTTCGTCAAAATTCTCCTCACTTTATCTTCGGCACACTCGTGTATCCGAGATGTTGATTGCCTGGCCTCGTTTTCAAATTTGTCCGCCATTTAGTGATCCTGAAATGCGAAAAATATAAAAAAAAAAAAAATATTCCCTTTCATTTTCTAAATGTGAAATGAAAAAAACAATTGTTGTCATTAATCTTATAAAAAGGGTTTCATCAACTTTCTTACAGATCTCCCATCAGCCAAGGGTGGGAAGGGGGGGGGGGGGGTTGAGGGTCATGACGTTATTGTATCATTCACTTTACGTCACAAATCATTTGATACTTCAACGTCGTATTTCTTTCAATGGAACAATTGTTCAGTCAGCTAGCATCGATTATGTCGTCCCAGTTTCAATGACGTCACGATCAACACACATGAGTCATGATGCAAGTAGTGAAATGTAATTCATATTTAGTAAGACTGACTGAGGCATATGGAAAAAAAATACTGAATACTACCTGTTAACATGTTGTTTTTTTATCAAAAGTGGAGGACACACTAAATTGGAGCCGGAGAAGGGTGCGGATTTAATCTTGCTTTGATCGATTTCATGGGGTGCTTAATTGGACTGGTCTTAATACAAATTTATTGAACTGCGAAGCACTTCATGATGAATTTGTTTCAAGACCAACTCAATTCATCACCCCATGAAATCGACCAAAGCAAGATTCAAACCTTATATTTCAATCAACATGTAGTTTTTTTTCAGTAATTGGAACTTGTGAAAGTCCATTCTGATAGTTTGTCACAGATTCTGGAACATTTGGTAGTTGCATTGGGTCCAACTTCTCGAGTAGAAATTGAAATATTAAAATGTGTACGTGTTTTTGATTGCTCATATTTAAAATGCAGTAAAATACAGTATGATTGCTATCATTTCATTCTCACAGCAAAACTTTAAAACCCAATCTCGTTAAATAAAATCATATGAAAACAAATATTTGGTAATGTCATATGCGTTAGAAATATATCATCCTCGATACTCAAAAGGGGTTACGCCCACTATGCACAGCCAAGCTCGAGGATGTAGAAATATTTTACTGGTTATGAGTACAGAGCGTTAACCACCGATATTGATCCCACTCAAAGACTAATTTCCGGAAGACTTCAATATTTCGACGCTTACGTAAAAATGGGAAAACCTACTGTATCTATTTAAGTAATCAACTGTATTGCTATGGCATTTACAGTCTATATGAATGACATAGCTTTGAAGGCAAAATGTGCCATTCATAAAGACTGTCAATGCAATAACAAGCCACTTCAATTCTTATATATATATCATTTTGGGTTACTTAAATTAACATCCTAGAAATTTGAAACAAATGTTTAATAAAATTTCTCGTTAAGTTCAAAACAGTGTATTATCGTGTATACGTGATAACTCAGTGAATGGAACAGCCATCTTCCATTGAGGGTCAATGGTACCCAACATAGCAATTATGACGTCATAAAAATGATGACGTCACTCAGGAGGGTCGTTGTATTTATACCATCTGAATTTAGCATGATTGCATAGTGGCAACATCATAGAAGTGAAATTATAAAAGCAGCATGTTTTCTTTCTAACCTTATATCATTCCAGGTAAATGAGGGGGGAAACATGTTTTTTTATATTTATATAAAAGTGCAACGTTTCTCTTTCGGGTCAACGCTGCAATGAACTTTTATCTTTACATTGAACGCGTGTTGTCAATCCCAACAAATAGTAGCAACCAGGAAAAATGGAAGTCTTCCGGTATATTTTGATTAACCAATCAGCATTTTTTAAATGCGGCCACCTCGACCACTTCCGTGCATACGACGGAAAATGTAGTCTCGTTCACCCAGACGCTTGATCACTTGTAATTCTTGCGTAGGCATCAAGAGTCTGTTTGAACGAGACTACGGAAAATGGCGAAGCGATCCGATTGAAATGCGAATATATCGGTTGCGACTGTTATAATTACCATCTGTCAGATCCGCGGACCGACCATAAATTCCGTGCATGACTCATGATATTGCAAATCAACAGAAGGCAAAAAGAACGAAACCTATTTTAGAATACAGACGATTAGATATGTTGTTTTGACTCTGTAAATTAATACAACTTTGTTCAATATTTTATATGTAATACTATAAACATGACGTCAATATTTGTTTGAGTGGCTTTACGCCCGCTTCTATTCATTACCGAGTAATTTGGTTATCCAGCAGACGAATGCGACGTCAATGTACACATGTATGATGTATATTTGTTCAATGTCCATATTTAAATAGGTAATAAGTCACTATTTTAGGACCCTGCATCGGATTACCTAAACAAATATATATGTGTAAACAAATATATCTGCATTGAATACTTTTTCATTTGAAAGGGTACAATGCCAGGGCAGACATCTAATTTTATGTGTTATGCAATGTGACATGGACCTGGAAATCTGTAATGGTGACACCCCCATGAAAAGATTCCGGATCTGTCCCTGAAGGCCCAAATCAACACGGTTGGTCATTTTGGGATCCCGAAAACTGTGACGCTTATCAAGCGTTTATTGTAAGCAAAAGCAGGTAGAGGAAGAGTTCCATTTTGTTCTGATTTGTCCATTCTATGTTGATATTCGTAAAAAGTTCATTAAAAAGTATTACTGGAGCCGCCCATCTTCATATAAACTTGTCCATCTGCTATCTATGTACACAACAGAAAATAGCTGTGTGTAATATAGGAAAATATCTGCAATCAAGTTGGTTAGAACGGTCTAGATTCCAACCTTAGGTTATTGTGTTTTTTCTCACACTGACTGATAACATTTGAGTACTTGTTTATTTCCAGGTTAACACATGTTGTTTTGTCCATCCCCTGATCACTACATCTCATTATATACAAATTGTATGTCTGTTTTTTTGTTTTTATAACTAACATACTCTTTGTTGAGCCCCGGTTGTTAATAGAAATGTTGTAACCTCAGCTCATCTGTTTTCCGATGGCCACAGTACACTTAGATGAGGTAACTTTACAAGAGTTGTCCATCTTCCGATCATTTTTTTATCTTGTACTTTATAATAATTTAAAGAATTATACTGTCCATTTATAGGTACTATATATATATATATGCGATGTACAAGATTATGCTTCATTCATGATGTTATGATTATTTGGTATTTCATATCACTGATGTATCAATTATACGTTGTTGTGTATGCTTATGAGCCGTAAGGCTTCAAGTTGAGCAAACAATACAATACAATGGGGATTGATGATTGCAACGTAATCTGTATCTATACTAGTTTTTAATGACACTAATTATTTTTCAATTCAATTTATTACCAAATGCACATTGCATATAGGGAATATGGAAATATACATTTTGAACAATATTGCACAAATATCTCAATTATATCTTGTACAATGGCGGAGAACATATGCAATAGATTCAATTACATACATAACAATTACAAATTCATAAAATAGTTATAAGTTGGGAAAAACTTTTCCGAAGGGAGCATAGCGGACTCTTATGAAGCATAATTTATTTGTTTATGAAATTATTCAAGTAAGCCTTAAGCTAGCTTAATTTCTAGGAAATAACAAAATTTCAACCACACAACCTCAACATGAAGGTAGAACGATTACTATATACAACATAATGAAATGAGATTATACACTCTTTGTAAAGTATAAGACATAGATCTCAATCCCATTATATAGAACTTTCTTAAATTTCTAATATTTTTTTTTTTTTTTTGCTAGACAGTTACTCTATTATTATAGTTAGGGATTAATTAAGGTTAAATTAATCCCAATTGGAGTCATGACGGATTGGACAGCTCAGACGGTCCAGTTACTGCTTGACCAGTGTGATATTGACACCATATCACGTTTATCTGATTAGTGTCACGGTGTCACAAGTCTGGTGTTGGGGCCGGCCCCTAGCTAGGGGGTTGGATGGATGGATGACGGGTTTCGCGCCTACATGAATCCGCCCTTGCGGGTTTCATCTCACTGACGGAAGTCAGTGTTCATAGCTAGGGGGCCAAACTAGGCGTTCATAATACTGTACGTAGCAATGCATTTAATTAAACGATAATTTACAACAGTTATTACAAAACTCATTAATTGCTTTGGCTGATAATCTTTTATATAACGTTCATTATGTCAAGCACTGTTTTCACAGCGAAGAAACATACGGCGATTTAGAAGCTGGTTCGTGAAACTGAAAGCTCTGGATGATCGAATAATATAAACGGAACAGTTGCTCTTTGTTACCGATATTCGTTTCATCCTCTCCTTGGATGTTTATTTATTTATTTATTTTTATTTATTTATTTATTTTTGATGTTTCATTTCCTTTCATCATATAATATCAGTTTCCTGGTGTGAAAGTTCATTTCTAATTGTAATTCTCTGTCATTAAAAAGATCCTGGCCAGTTATTCATAACAACTTGAAAAGATCTGAAATAGCATACTGGTTACGAATTTTTGGTGACAAGCTAGTGTGGAAAAAAAGTTCACCACCTCCTGCACGGCCACCGAAATTTGAAAACTAAATACGTGTGTGGTTTTAAGGAATGTTCCGATTGGTGAAACCACATACATTTAAGATACAAGATTACGTTATTATATACGTATCATGATAATTACCGATATCAATGACAAACCTATTATAGGACCGTTTCTGAGTCCGTCGAGTACAAAACAACAGTTAACACCACCGGTATTTGTGAGTTCTTTCGTATTTGTGCACAACATCAAGATTTCCTTAATAACTTTAAGTTAATATTTTGTTAAGAATTCCTCTGTCCCTTGTTGAAATTCTAATTTTGTGAATTCTGAAAAACATCTAAATAGTCTTCACGCGAACAGACGTCACCTTGTAGTGATTTTAAAAAGGGCGCAAACTAATCATAGTGAACGTATATTCTTACTTTCAAAAACCCATATCAGGCACTCAGCTTCCTTATAAAGTAAATTTCGACCACATTTTCAAACATAAAAAACTAAACAACACAAAAACACTGCTCTTTGCATATTTGAAATAAATAAAAGAGATTGTAAACATGTAAAATCTCTGGCGAAGAATGAATAAAGCCCTACAGTAAAAAGTCCATAATGTCAATTACAATTGTAAACACAATATACGTTTATATATTTCAATTCCTACATAATTTTCAAAAGTACGTGTCTTTTTTTGGTTCGCAAAAACGGATCAAAAGCATGAGCAGGTAGAACCAGGGTATATCCTGTATAGATATGACTGAGTGTGCCAAGCCGTCAAAATGGCGCTCAATTGTCCGAAGTGTGTTTGTATGCCCAACTTCAAACTCGTTTTCTTATATTAAAACGACATAGTTCATACAAAACCAATACATCTTATAATAAAAAGATATTCACATAATGTATTTCTTATCACAAAACGCTATTTTGTTACTTATAAAATGTATATTTTATTACATTTTAAAATTAATATCGCATGCAATGGTGCGATAACCGGGCTTAAATTGATATTAGAATGACCTTTTAGCGATTTATGTCAAAAGCATTACGTCATATGATAGACAAATATTTATCATTTCACAATGTGTCAAAATATCGCAACTAAAATGGATCATTAATGAGTAAATAACAGTTAAAACGTGCCCAGAAAACACATAACTTCATGAAGGCGAGCGATTCGGCCAAATCGTGCACTCTATGAGGGGATGTCTTCGGTGAGGTGCGAGTAAATACAGTATATACCGAAAATTCCAAAAAACTGGCACTCTCGACTCAACCCCGGTATTCGCAGGATAATCAACACAAAAGCATGTCTGACGCCGTTTCAACTTCACCAGTCGCGAAGGTCGCTAAGAAAGTCAGTAAACCCAAAGTAGCACCGGCACATCCAACCTATGCCGTCATGATCAGCGCCGCCATTGCCGCCCTGCAGGAGAAAGGAGGTTCGTCCAAACAGAAAATATTGGCTTATATCATGGCTAACTACAAAGTCGGAACAGAGAAGGTCAAGATCAACAGCCGAGTCCGGCTTGCTCTCAAAAGCTGTGTGGTCAAGGGAACCGTGAGTCAGGCGAAAGGAACCGGTGCCTCCGGATCCTTCAAGCTCGGTGAGAAACCAAAGGTTGCCAAGAAGGAGGCAAAGAAACCTGCGGCCAAAAAAGTAAAGAAACCCAAGAAAGTGACTGTAACAAAACCGACGAAGACCACCACTACGAATAAGAAGACTCCAAAAAAGGCAGCAAAGAAACCAGCAGCCAAAAAAACAGCTGCAAAAAATCCCGCCGCCACCAAAGTCAAAACACCGAAGAAGGCTACGAAGAAGCCAGCAGCAAAGAAACCTGCGGTCAAGAAACCAGCTAAGAAGACCGCAGCCAAGAAGTAGGCGTTCCTCCTGAACACATCTTTAAAACAGCCCTTTTCAGGGCTACCCAACTTTCCCGGAAAGTTTCCTTTGGATGGCTCGAATATACGCATTTTTTCATTCTCACTTCCCTAAAATACTTAAATGTACTTGTATTTAAAGCACATCAAACCCTTTGATGAATTATGGCCTTGTTATCAAATTCAATCTGATAAATAAAAAAGACTTTTTACTTTGTATTCATGTGTGTTAGGGGGAAGGCGTAGTTTTCATAATTCAAATGATCAATTTATATCGTTACAATGATTACTGCAAGGACGCCGGTTTAGATTAAATCGGGTTTCTAACATGTTTATCACTTTGACCACAGTGGTCAGTTAATAAAAATGGCATGGCACTGATCTTTACCATTCACTAAAATACAATGGTAGGGAAACGCCTCTGGGAAGATTTGCACACGTTTAGAGATACCTGCCCGAGGATGGGAAGTTAACCATGGGTGTGGTCAAGGCAATTGTCCTTTGTAAAATTATGTCTAGATTAAAATATCCATTTGTATGTAGACAATGTCGCTTTACATTAAAGATCCCTGTCCAACTGCATTGTAGATTTTCCTATATGAATTGGATTAGTTACCAATGTTCCCATCCTAGATATGTCATCTAACAATAAAAACCTAATTAACACAAGCAAACATTAATAATCTACCAGAACTGTCTCGTAAGGGAAATATACCTTTGGAAATAGTGTGATAACACATTTACGGAAGATCATGCGGGCACACGTGGAAAAAAAGAACTTAAATTTGCGAGGTATTTGGGATTTCGAGTTAATAAGTCGACATTTTGAGATATTGAATCGGGTTTTTCTTTTTGCATATACATGGCCCTTATGCTCTACCGTACTTATAAATATCACCACAAACCCCTTTTTCAATATTTTATGTTCTAAATATAAATTTTGTAAAAGGTTAACGAAAACACGAGACAGTTATTCTTTTACTGCTGTCAGAGACGTAAAATACTGTAGTGTATGCGTCACTTCTGCTGTAAAATCGGACTGCCTCTGGTCTGATGACGTCACTATCCGGAATCGTCAACAACGTTAACAGTGCCATTTTGTAAACAAGGCAATCCCGGTTTAAGTGTCGATGTCATCGGCGAAATGGCAGTTTTATGTATACCTTGTACTCACTTTCACTTAGCCGGACCTGACAGGGTAGCTTACAAAGTCACGTACATTTAATCCTTTATTTACACAACGGCTATAACAACGTTTGACGCCCCCAATCTTACCTCAGGTCAAACTAGCCCCTGAAAATTAGCATTTAATGTGTGCTTTAAAATATTTATGTCATATTGACCCTAAGCATATTATCGATAGATAAACAAATTGCCTAAAGACATGATTTTGATCAAATACCTTTTATATTTTCGTGATTGTAAACGGTATTTTCCCTGCAACCGCTGTTTTACCATGTTATGTAATATAAACCCGAGGCTATGAATAGATGAACAAATATGATTGATAAAAAAAAAAAAATATAGGATAAAAGAAATCTTGAAAAATTTAGTGTAGCTTGCATACATGTATGCTACGCCATCGAACGTTCCCGTTTTAACCGGATTAATATTATTATCAGCATCTTCGCTAGCCAAGGGTTAGTAGGTAGATCGTACCGGATCAACCCTTGGCTAGCGAAGATGTATTATCAGTAGAGTAATTCCTATTTATAAACAGTATCATTTAGTGCAAGATAAGCTCACTTAATTAATTGTATGTTACGTAATCTGATAAAAGATAAGTATATTTACTTATGTGTTGTAAGTTTGAGTGGAATTAAGTTGAACGAAGGAAATTCTCTGTATCAAATTTAATCCCCTTACATCGAACTTGAACGTGCCCCCTCAATCGTGAATTTAACGATAATATCAGACAAGTGGCATACTCCCTATCAGAGAGGCTATTTAACAGTTTCCCGTTGAATACCGTATATATTTCAAAAGTATATCAGAATACCGATAATTTTCACGAATGGAAAGCAAATTTGAACAGAACCGTAATTTAATTTTAATACCAAACTAGCAATATTAAATGTGTTTATTTCATATCCGGGGAAAGCTACACCATTAAAATGTTAACCCATTAAAATATTACGACCGCATGAATTGTGAAATACAATGTTTTCGGAAAGTTTTGAATATTTTAAAACTAAAGAATTCAAAAGTGCAATTTGTGCAAACAACTTTTTCACACAAAGTTGTCAACCGTGATTAAATCTAAAGGATAGAAAGACAAATTGAATTACGTTAATTGTGAAATCTAGTGTTTTCAAAACAATTGTTAACATTATTTATTTCAATTTAAGAATATAAGGGAAAAATATATACGTTAATTGTGAAATCTAGTAAAAAAATGTCGACATTAATATTATTTCAACTTAAGATTATAAGGAAAAAAAGTATACGTTAATTGCGAAATCCAGTGTTTTCAACCAAAAAATTCAGCATCGCTGAGACTAAAATATTTCAACGGAGAAGTTATTGACACTCGGAATAGATAAAAAAAAAACAAAAAAACACGGTATGCCGGGAGGCGGATTCCGGAAAGTGTCATGCGGCCATAGCAATTGTGAGTAGGCGGTTGTGCATATCCGGAAAGGGTATTTATATATTTCAAACCATAAATCATAATCTCTGCCTGAAGTATTCATAATTGTACAGGCCTCTGAATATTGATCTTGTTGTCCGATCTGTCAACAAATTCAGTAAAAAGGAAATAAAACTGATCGTGATGTTTTTTGCAAAAAAAAATGTTTTCAGTGCACCAGAAACACATTATTGACGTACACATAGGTATTCTATATTTGTTGTTGAAAATTTCGCAGATGAATCATTTGTAAGTAAACCTGCCTTAAAGACCACCTGTTTATAACTACAGTCAAACCTGCCTTAGGACCACCTGTCTTTTACTACAGTCAAACCTGCCTTAGAGACCACCTGTCTATAACTACAGTGAAACCTGCCTTAGAGACCACCTGTCTATAACTATAGTCAAACCTGCCTTAGAGACCACCTGTCTATAACTATAGTCAAACCTGCCTTAGAGACCACCTGTCTATAACTATAGTCAAACCTGCCTTAGATACCACCTGTCTATAACTACAGTCAAACCTGCCTTAGAGACCACCTGTCTATTACTACAGTGAAACCTGCCTTAGAGACCACCTGTCTATTACTACAGTCTAACCTGCCTTAGTGACCACCTGTCCATAACTACAGTCAAACCTGTGTTAGAGACCCCTGTCTATTACTACAGTCAAACCTGTCTTAGAGACCCCCTGTCTATAACTACAGTCAAACCTGTCTTAGAGACCACCTGTCTACAACCACAGTCTAACCTGTCCTAGAGACCACCTGTCTATTACTACAGTCAAACCTGTCTTAGAGACCACCTGTCTATAACTACAGTCTAACCTGCCTTAGTGACCCCCTGTCCATAACTACAGTCAAACCTGTCTTAGAGACCACCTGTCTATTACTACAGTCTAACCTGCCTTAGAGACCCCCTGTCTATTACTACAGTCAAACCTGTCTTAGAGACCACCTGTCTATAATTACAGTCTAACCTGGCTTATAGACCATGTACCTGTCTATAACTACAATCAACCCTGCCTTAGAGACCACCCATCTATAACTACAGTCAAAACTACCTTAGAGATCACCTGTCTATAATTACAGTCAAACCTGTCTTGGAGACCACCTGTCTGTAACTACAGTCTAGCCTGCCTTAGTGACCACCTGTCCATAACTACAGTCAAACCTACCTTAGAGATCACCTGTCTATAATTACAGTCTAACCTGCCTTATAGACCATGTACCTGTCTATAACTACAATCAAACCTGCCTTAGAGATCACCTGTCTATAACTACAGTCAAACACGCCTCAGAGACCACCTGTCTATAACTACAGTCCAACCTGCCTTAGAGATCACCTGTATTTTCCCTGCAACCGCTGTTTTACCATTGTTATGTAATATAAACCCCAGGCTATGAACAGATGAACAAATATGATTGAGACGTACGGTCCATATTAATAAAAAAAATAAAAAAAATTAGGATAAAAGAAATCTTGAAAAATTTAGTGTAGCTTGCATATCGGTATGCTACGCCATCGAAATCCCCTTACATCGAACTTGAACGTGCCCCTCAATCGTGAATTTTACGATAATATCAGACAAGTAGCATACTCCATACGGAGAGGCTATTTAACAGTTTTCCGTTGAATACCGTATATATTTCAAAAGTATATCTGAATACCAATAATTTTTACGAGTGGAAAGCAAATTTCAACAGAACCGTATTTTAATTTCAATACCAAACTAGCAATATTAAATGTGTTTATTTCATATCCGGGGAAAGCTAAACCATTAAAATGTTAACACATTCAAATATTACGACCGCATGAATTGTGAAATACATTGTTTTCGGAAAATTTTAGATATTTTAAAACTAAAGAATTCAAAAGTAAATTGTGCAAACAACTTTTTCACACAAAGTTGTCAACCGTGATTAAATCTAAAGGATAGAAAGACAAATTGAATTACGTTAATTGTGAAATCTAGTGTTTTCAAAACAATTGTCAACATTATTTATTTCAACTTCAGAATATAAGGGGAAAAAATATACGTTAATTGTGAAATCTAGTTGTTTCAAAACAATGTCGACATTAATATTATTTCAACTTAACATTATAAGGAAAAAAAGTATACGTTAATTGCGAAATCCAGTGTTTTCAACCAAAAAAAGTCCGCATCGCTGAGACTAAAATATTTCAACGGAGAAGTTATTGACACTCGGAATAGATAAAAACAAAAACAAAAAAACGGTATGCCGGGAGGCGTATTCCGGAAAGTGTCATTCGGCCATAGCAATTGTGAGTAGGCGGTTGTGCATATCCGGAAAGGGTATTTATATATTTCAAACCATAAATCATAATCTCTGCCTGAAGTATTCATAATTGTACAGGCCTCTGAATATTGATCTTGTTGTCCGATCTGTCAACAAATTAAGAAAAAAGGAAATAAAACTGATCGTGATGTTTTTTGCAAACAAAATGTTTTCAATGCACCAGAAACACTAATA